CTGATTACATTTAGTAGTTTACCGTAGATTTTTATTCTATATGGCTGACTGGCAACCTTTTCTGACTCCTCGTTGTATGAAGATTTCTTTGGTGTACATTTTGGAGACGGCTATCGACGTATTCCCGTTCTCCTCCGCCAATCCTTTCGGTCCAAGGCATGCTCGTCCTCCAAACCTCTCGATTCCATCGCTCTTCTAACTCCTTCATTCCATGAGCGTCGAGGTCTACCTTTTTTCTTCTTCCAGGGGCTTCCATCTGTGACGTTTTGGTGCCAACGTTCGTCAGGCATTCTCAATAGGTGTCCAAACCATTTTAAACCTCTTCTTTCTATTCTGTCAATGACCGTTTCTGTAATATTCAGGTTATTTCTTATAGATTCGTTAGCCTTCCTTTCCAGTCTTGATGTTCTTTTTAAATAATCCATTTCAACTAAAACCATGCTTCTCTTCAGGTCTGCATTAATTGACCATACTTCAGAGTTATAACAAAGAACTGATTCAACCATGGTTTGCCCTATTTTTTTTGTTCCTTTTGGAAATGTTGCGATCCCACCATAATGAATTCAGACATCCTACAATTTTACGTCTCTGATTATTTCGGTGTTTAATTCGGCTTCTCCCAAGCCGCTCTTATCAATGCGTGCACTTAAATATTTAAATTTTTTCACTTGTTTAATTTGCGCGTCCTCCTCTATCAACACGTCAAACCTTGCATCTGAATCGATAACTAAATATTCTGTTTTCTTCATGCTGACTTGTAACCCCATTTTACATATTCTCTGTATAGACGCTTTATTATAAATTCTAGATCATTAGAATCTTGAGCTACGACGACTTGGTCATCCGCAAAGTTCAGGGAGAATAGTACGTCATTTCCTATGGGGACTCCCATTCCCTGGCAGTGGTTTTTTCAATTTTGGAGGGCTGCCTCAATATATAAATTAAACAGTAAGGGTGACATACTGCATCCTTGTCTTTGCCCTTTAGTTACTTTTATTGGCTCTGATAGTCTATTTCCGATTTTTAGGTAAGTAGTGTTATCCCTGTATACTTCTGTGATTATTCCTAAAAGTTATGGCGTAATGCCGAGTTGTTGTGAAGCTTACCACAATTTAAGTCTTGAAACTGTATCATATGCCTGTTCTAGGTCGATGAAGGCTATAAGTACTTCGGTACCAACCGCTATTCCTTTATGTAGTAATTGTTGGAGTATAAACAAGTTATCAGTGCAAGATCAACCAGGCGTAAATCCACTTTGACCTTGGCTAATTAGATGTCCTACATCATCTTGTATTTTTCCATTTATTATCTTTCCAAACAATCTGCCCAAAGTAGGTAGGACACTTAATCCTCTGTAGCAGTTAGGATCTTTTTTCTGTGATCTGTGAGCGGTTTTTCATTCAGATGGTACTTTAATTTGTTGGCAGCATTGATTCATTAGCAAAGTTATTCGTTCTATTAGGAGTGGACCTCCTGCCTTAAGTAACTGTACAGCTATATTGCCAGGTCCTGGAGATCGCCCGTTTTTAATTTTAATTACCGCAGTACTGACCTCGTTGTTAGTAGTATTAATATTACTATTTGTTTGTCTCTCCATACTGTATTCCTCTCCCATATATTCCAATCTGGACTCTTGGAGTAAATTTTTATAGTGATTTTCCCACTTTTCCATAGTAATTAAGTTGCTTAGGAAGTTATAGGTGTTTTTGTTTAGATTAGTGATAGTTCTCCATTCTTTCGTAGTCTGAGAACCACCAATTAAATGTTCAACTTGGACACATTTTGTTCCCAGAAATTATTTTTGCTTCTTTTATTTGATTGCGTAATTCTCCGTTTTTCCTTTGATATGTTACTGTATTGTTAGATGTTTTATTTGTTAGCCATTTCTTATATATTTTGTTTTCTTCTTGTATTATTTCTTTTACGTTTTCTGTCATCCAAGGTGGTTCGTGGCGGTTTTTAGTCAAAAGATTTTTTTCCAGATGATAAGGGACTGGCCCATCGCTTCAAACCACCAAGCTTGGAGGACTAGGATTTTCTGTTGTGGTTTCTTCCCTTAGTCAACACGTTCCAGTTTGAAGGCGCTAGAAACTCGCCTTTCACCCTCTCTTCGCTGCTATATACATCCATTGTACGCCATATACCCGGTGGTTACCCGACATATATGTCTTCGAGGACGTGAGAGTAGGATTTACTGGCAGAGCCGAGTTCGTTTTCAGAACTCCCAACCTTTCGTTGGGAAACGGGTGGACATTTCTTAGAGTTTTATTGCAATATAAGATTCGACATCTCATATTACCTCCAAGGCTATAACAACCTTAACCGAAATAGATTTCGAATATCCAAAAAACGGTCTCTTCGAGATCTTCTTCGCATTTACGCCTAATTCTGTTGTGGAGTATTCTTAGGAAAACCTTAAGAGTGTGGCTCATTAGCCCAACTAATCGATATTGTAAGCATTTTCTAGCATTGTGTTTTATGCATTCCGACAAAGATGGACTCAGTCTGAGGGAATCACTCCAGTGTTATATATTTCATTAAAAAGTTTCACTGCTACTTTTATGTTATTTTCATCTACGAGCTTCAGCCACTTATCTACTTCCAAAAAGAACATTACTCAAGTCTTTTAAACTGAATTTTTAACTGCAAATAATTTTAAAACACAAATCTTTGTTACAAATCTTTGTAAAAGTGGTGTACATAGTGAAAGGGAAAAAGCTAGTTTAAGAAACCTCAATAAAGAAATAAAACGAAGATGTAAGGCCGACAAAAAACAGTACTATCAAAGTATATGCAAAGAAATTGAGAGACATGGTCAGAATAATCAGCCGAGAGATCTATTTAGAAAAATACGCTACCTGACAAGAGACTTCAGAGCCAGAACTTGGGCCATTGAAGATAACACTGGAACCCTGAGAACAAACAGAGAAGACATAGCAGAGACATGGAGATCGTATTGCAGGGACCTATATAAAGATGATCAACGCCAAGAGCTTGTTAGCCAAATCTCTGACGAGGTGGAAGAAGAACCTGATATACTCGAAAATGAAGTAAGACAGGCTATCAACAAGCTCAAATATAACAAAGCACCAGGTCCAGATATGATAACAGCAGAAATGCTTAAAGCCACAGAAGAAACCGGCGTAAAGTTACTTCATCTACTCTGTAACCAAATATGGCATTCCAAACAATGGCCTGAAGACTGGACAAAATCTACAATAACGACCATACATAAAAAAGGCAGCTTCCATAAATGCGACAATTATAGAACTATCTCTCTTATATCCCATGCCAGCAAGATAATGCTACATATAATCAATGAGAGACTGAAAACATTCCTTCAAAGAGAAATTCCACAAGAGCAAACTGGATTTACCAAAGGTAGAGGCACTCGAGAACACCTGCTGAATATAAGACAGATAATCGAGAAATCTAGGGAATTCAACATCCCACTATACATCTGTTTTATAGATTACCGTAAAGCGTTCGACAGGGTCAAGTGGAGACACTTATGGCGAATACTAAAAGAAGTAGGCGTACCACAACATCTAATTACGCTTATAACCGAACTATATGAACACACTACTGGATCAGTTAAAGTACTTGACACACTTTCGAACGAATTTCATCCAGAACGGGTGTCAGACAAGGATGTATACTATCTCCACAATTATTCAACATATATGGGGAGTATATTATGCGAAGAGCACTTGAAGGATGGGAAAAGGGCATCTCAATAAATGGTCATAAACTAAACAACCTACGTTTCGCAGATGACACAGCCCTTCTTGCAAATAGTCAAGCAGAGCTGATAGAACTTATACGACTGATCGAAAACGAAAGTCAAATATTTGGTCTGCAATTAAACATATCAAAGACAAAGATCATGATAGTGGATAGACTACACAACAATCATCCACACATAACCACAATTGACCGGTTCGAGGTTGTGAGCTCATACTTATATCTGGGATCATTAATCACAAACACAGGGTCATTACAAGAAGAGATTAAACGTAGATGTGATCTAGCAAAAGTTGCCACAGCAAAAATGACCAAAATATGGAAGGACTGTCAAATTTCAAGAGCGATAAAGATGAGGTTGATCAACTGCTTAATATTCCCAATACTGACCTACGGATGTGAATCTTGGACTCTGAGACAATCGGAGAGAAGAAAGATAGACGCCACTGAAATGTTCTGTTGGAGACGAATGTTACGAATTCCTTGGACCGACCGTAGAACAAATAATTCAATTTTAAGAGAGCTAAAAGTTAGCCAACGACTCTCTAGTAAAGTCCATCTCCAACAATTAAAATATTTTGGGCATGTTATGAGAGCAAACACAGAAAACATGGAAAGACTCATAATACAAGGAAAGGTAGAAGGCCGAAGATCACGAGGAAGATCCCCAACAAGATGGATAGATCAAATTACAGGAATATGCCAAAGACCTATGCATGAATTAAAAGAAATGACCAGAGACAGAGATCTCTGGAGACGGACAATACACGACATTACGTCGACCACTACACTCCCCCTGGGGGGTCAGGATTGAAGAGAGAGAATTTTAAAACACAATATTTGGAAAAGTTCTTCATGAAAATTTTTAAAGCCAATTGTCTTAAAATAATTATTATTTTATTACAAAACACCTTTATCTATTTCAATGTGTCTTTAATTGATACAAATAAGCATAGGTTAAGATGAAAATTAATTAAAGAGAGATATAAGGAGAACTAATAAATGACAAAAGTTAACAATAGGTTTTATTGTCCCTTTGTCAAGTCAACTTTCGTGGTAATCGAATCCATCAATTAAATCTATTTTAAATTTTATTGACCTTATCAATTATCCCTGGACCATATCGATAGATTCAAGATGCATTGCCAAAATAAAAAAAAATACTTATCAATATATTTACATTATTTTTAGTTGTTTGCAAAACATTTTCTCACAAGCAAAGCGCTATCACATTGTGACTTTTGACATCAAGAAATTCGTATCAGTCGTGAAGATATTTTCGTAGATAAATCAACGAGTTGAATCTGCGCATAAATGTAAAACCGCTACTGGCAGCATTCACTAGTTTTGTAGGCCTAGCGGGTTCAAAATAAGATTAAGTGATGTGCAAAATAGTTTAAGTTTGTTCTTCTTTGTTAATTTATAGTGGTAAGTTAATAAAGATATCCATATTTTAAAACATGTTACAGCTTCTACATGGTGCTACAGAAAAACAATAATGTAATAGTTTGTTTTGCAATATTCGACATGTGTATCAAACATAGTCTCTGCCAATTTTTTTTTTGGATTATTAGTGTTGTGAAAACATGGGTCATGGTCTCGATTTTTGATATTTGAACTACTTAAAATAATTAATTTGTCAGAGAAGGTTAAGGATGTTTCTTATTGATAAATAAATAAGTAATTAAACATAAATAAAACAAACATTCAAAGATACGCAACAACGATGGGAAATTCTTCACAAAAGTTTTTCATAATATTCTTAATACAATATTCTTAAAAAATAATCAACATCCCTCAGCCATTAATATCGCCTGGAATGTTGGGAACATTTTTGTTGTCAATTTAATCCTCTAAGGACGAAATTTCCAAAATTTTAAAAATTCTTCCGAAAAAATGTTTTAATTAAATTAAAATCAATAATTATGTGTACGACATATTAATATTAAATTTTTATCATTATTTTTGCAAAAAAAACTGAAAATTTTAAACGTTACGAAAACGTCACATTAGGCATCTAGAAGTAATACAATAATTTTAATGAAGATATTTATTGGTGCAAAAACATAATTTTTGAATAGCATGACAAATTTTAATTATGATGAAAATCGTAAAAACAATTCGAATTTTTATTAATACATAAGTACACGTTGCACTTCTCACAATAATGCACAGGAACTGCTTTACAACCAGGTTTTCGACATCGTCCTCTTTTATCTTTCACAACGGGCCAATGTCCTATTTCATCCTGCCGAATATCCTTTTGAGGAATCATTTTTGTAGCTGCACTTTTGTGTTTTTTTGCTGCATGAAGATCATCAATAGAGCTACTGCTGGGACGTCCTAATTTTTTGGTAACTGTCAGTGTCTTTCCTTGCTTCATTAGGCTTTCGGCTATGCGACTCTTAAACTCAAACAGAGACAGTTCGTTTTTCTTTGGAACACCAAAATCATTGCAGTCACGTCTATATAAAAGCCAACAATTTACAACTGCCATATCCATAAAATGGAATAAAAAACGATGGTAATATTTCTTCGATCTAATTGTGATTCTGTATAGACCTATTAGTGAATTCATAAGATCTACTCCGCCCATGAATTTATTGTAAGTTCTAATTGCTGTGGGGCACTGAACATCTACAGTATCTTTTCTTGTTTTATCCCATCTTCTAATTGTATCAAGAGGTTTGGCAGAGGAAAAGTTGGAAATAAGCAATACTGCACGAGAGTCGTGCCATTTGATAATTCTGCAAGGTACAGTATCAGTTTTTAACTCTATTTCCTGAAACGATCCGCGTCCTCTTGTTTTCAGGATTTTGTCTGACAATAAAGGACACCTAGGAAGACGGTTTGAGCGGACTGTTCCTAGACAATATATTTTCTTTTGAACTAGCTCATTCAAAAGAGGTATCGATGAAAACCAATTATCGATATAAAGAAGGTGATTGTCTTGTTGAATGCTTCTGCAGAGTGTTACAACAATATTGCCGCTGGAACCAATATCATTGTATCCTGGAGTAGCGGAAATTTTTCCAGTATATATTTCAAAATCGTACGCAACACCACTGGAGCCAGCCAACACATAAATTTTGTAGCCCCATTTGTGAGGCTTTTTTGGCATGTACTGTTTTAGCCCGGAATGACCCTTGAAAGGAACCATTTGCTCATCGACCACGACCATCTGCTCCTTTGGAATATTTCGAAATTTCTCTCCCAAATGTTCTACTAAGGGTCTAATCTTGTACAGTTTATCTAAGTTTGATGGATCAATTTTGGTATTATCGGAGAAATGTATATGTTTTTTTATTGTTTCCCATCTGTCTCGACTCATTATTTCACGAACTGTAGTAATATCAAATTGAGAACTCCAATATAATCGAGTTTTTGGTAGTTTGATCAAAGACATATAAAATATTGTACCCATAAATTGTTCTAGCTCTTTTATTGTCAGCCCCAGAGGTTTATTGGGGTTTGTTTGGACAGCAAATAAATTCGATTGGTAAGTAATCAAATTTAGAAAGTTATCGTCGAAAAATATTCTAAAATAGTCTATGGGGTCTTTTATAGAAGTAGCTTTTGGTAAGCTGTAGTTCCACATTGGAGTAACAATGTCAGTATTGTTTTTTTCTGTTATATCAGTATATTCATTCTTATTGCGCGTACATTGTTCGTTTATTATTTCTTCACCACCATCACTAAGGTCTTCCTCAATTTCAGAACCAAAGTCCTCTTCTATTACCCATTCATCACTTTCATTTTCAGAATCAGAAATACTTACATCACTATCACTTGGTATGTCAATGGCTTGATGCCGTTTTCGTCCGTAAAACATAGCTGGATCCATTTTGAACTATTTTAGTTAATCGACTCTATAACGCCGAACGTAACGAAATCGTAACGTTTACAACACGTGTTCAATCTTCAATTTACGACTGTTTATAGTGATAAGCATGAACTATCCATATACTACACAGAACTTTCCCGCTAATAACTATTTTACAGATTCCTTCCCGGTAAACATTCACTGATTTTGTCGAAATCAAAATTACAGTTTTCTGTTAGCATCAGTCAACTTGTATCCTAATCTGTTTAGAGAAGTATGCGGTTGAAAAATTGGCCGGAGTGTGTCGCAGTGACTGTTTCAGTATGAAGCGTAATATACGAATTCGTAACTTTCGGCATCGATGAGATTAGTTAATAGTTTGCCTACAAATCGCTTTTGATTGGAACGTTACGAAAACGTCACACTCGTCCTTAGAGGGTTAATATTATTTGAGTTACCACAAAGATTAACAATCGACGTTTATGATAAATGTTTTAGCATTTTTAAACCCGTAATAGGCCTAGGCGGAAGGCGGTTTTAAGGTGAATGTGAGAGTTGGCATTCTGAGTTTAAGAAAAATTTGTGTGATAACGTAAGTAATAATAATTAGTATGGTATAGTTAGACCCAACCCTGACATCCATCCCTTACTATTTCGAGCGCCAGTTTGGTGGGGAGTGAGGGTAGAAATGGGTAAATAAGTAATTTTTTTAAGTTTGATCCAAATATTTCAAAAATTATGCGGTTTAGCGTAAAGAAGGTTATATACAAAAATGTTTTACGCCAAATTTAAAACAAGAAAGGTCGGATGCATAATTCTTCTAAAATCAACGGTTTCGGAGTTACGGAGGGTGTAAAAGTGAAAGTTTTCAATATTTTTATATTTTTTGCATAAATTATATTTTTACTATATATATATATATATATATATATATATATATATATATATATATATATATATATATATAAGGTTCTTGAACTCCTAAGTGGAGCATAGAGCTTCAGTGAAAACGCGCCATCGGGTTCTATTTTACGCTAAGGCCTTCACCTCATTCCAAGACTTTCCTTGTTTTCTTATCTCGTCCATGATGGATCTTCTCCAAGTTTGTACTGGGCGACCTTTTTTTCGTTTTCCTTGGGGATTCCACTCTAGGGCAGTCTTTGCAATACTGGAGTTATTTTTTCGGAGTGTGTGACCGATCCAACCCCACTTTCTGGACTTTATTTCATTTACTACCCTCTTTTGTTTGGTCAGGTGTAGTAAATCTTCGTTTCTGATGAAGTTATATTTTTACTAAGGAAACTAATTTTTGTTAACAGAATTGTGTTTTGTAAATATAATTTGCTATTTCAATGGCTGGTGGTATTTAAGAGATAAGCCCTACAAGGAACGTAGAACCTCACTACCTTTTTAAGGGGCGCTACTTTTTACGGGAAAATAGGCTTTCACAGGGCTAGAGCATATAATCTTGTGGTACGGAGAATCCTACTCTAAACTTCATATGAATATCTTTTCAACACTAAATTCCAACAAAATAATTTTAAATACTCAAAATGTTTCTTGCATAATAATGATGATTATAATGCAATGAGTTTCAAGTAAACTTATTTATCAGTTTAGTAAACTTATTTATCAGTTTCAGTCCTCTTCAAATATAACATCCTCCTTTTCTACATCTTGGTCTATGATAATTGTGTTCCTGTTATCACATCCTAGGTCTGAGCAATTACTGCCTATGCTTGAGCAGTTTAAATTATTCTTTCTATACCCACAGTTGCAGATGCTTTTTTTTTCTTAATTAGATGGCTTTGGTAAAGACCAATTAGCCAGATAATTTTTTTAGCTATAGTTGCGGATGCATCGCTTTTGCAAGTTTACATTATGAGGAAGTTATTAGTCGGGAGCTGCAGCACATACCGTTGTAATTGGTGTCTCTTCTTTCAACCCCACTCGCGCAGATTCTTCTTTTCATTCAGCCACTGCTGTACCTGGTGGTGGGTTCTGAACGAATTCTGACTGGAAGCTCCTGAAGTGACAGGTAGTGCAGCTAACTTGATCAAAGAATATATAGGCTGCTTTTCAAACGTCTTTAAGTAAGACATAAAACGAAACGAAAACAATCTATATCTTCCATGTTTCTGGCACCAAACATCGCAAGAAGGAAATGCTTTCTGGCGTCAGCTACTACTCTTTGGTCAGCTTTGCGTCATTGGCTTACACTTTACTATACGGTGTAATTTTTCCCTTCTTGTAGATGCCTTGCTGAGATCAGCAATGTTGTAGACTTTTTCTTGCTGATTGCCTTTGTTATCACCATTTTTAATTTTTTCTCTGATGGTGCGTGGACAGTTAACAAAACTAGTAGGCCCGTGTCATCACGTATAGCACAAGATTTAACGTCTTTCGTAGCTTTATCAATAGATATTAAAACAGCGTCTTCCTATGCTTAATGAACTGTGCAACCACATATTTGCAAGTGTATTATAAGAAGTTAGATAAGACCCATTTTGTTGTTAGCGTTAGCTAAAAATTCACTTTGGTTTATATTTATATGGATTGAGTCTTCGACTTTTATTTCAATGCTAGAACGTGCCCTGGGTAAGTA